AAAAAAAAAAAGTGAGTTGTATTATGAACTGATGTATGGACCACAGAAAGGCACAAACCTTCTAGGGGTCTTTGCTTAACCTCACTGCTCATAGGAGTACTTGCCACTCCACCCTGTCAATCCCAGAAAAACTCCTGGAATCCCCACAAGAGTCTCTTACCTGAGTCATAGGCGAAGTCTGTGCGCTCCTGTTTGATCACCACCCCCGCCCCTGGGTACCTGTGCCCACTGACCCCACCCTGGGTCGCAGCCGGCTGGCCAGCCTGTTCATACAAGGGGTCGTGGTACTCCTGCTTGAAGCTCTGCTGGGGGTAGGGTGGGCAGGGCTCCGACAGCTGGTGTTGGTAGGGGGCTGGGAGAGGTTCCCGGCCCCCTCCCTGAGGAGATGTGAAGGAGTGGCACATATCCAGGGGCTGCTGGAAGACAGAGCTGGATGGGATAGGCAGAGAAGGAAGAAAAGAGAATCCTCCATTAGGTCCCCCTGAGCCTGTCACTTGCTGACCGGGCTCTAGAGGGATAACGAGAGTGTTTCTCTGGTTCTCCTTTTCTCCCAGCCAGGTCTCTATAGAGAACTAGGGAATTGGGCCCAGACTGCCTGGCGAGGCCTGGGTCCCCCGGTACTGTCTCCTTACCTGTGCTCACCAAGGTACCCATGGCCAGGGTGGGACTGGGAGGAGCTGGAGGTTCTCAGGAGGCTCTGCTGCTGTTCTGCCCTGGGAAAGGGCTGCAGGGGTGACTGTCCAGGGGCACCGGGGGCGGGGGACTTGATGGCGATTTGTCTGGGGGAGTCATAGGCACTGGGGTTGAGGGGGAGAGGGGAATGAGGGGACAGAGAAGCTAGGTGACCATCTTTTACCCATCATCCCCCAGGAAGTGATTACTACAATTATAGGAGTTAGAGGGGTTGGTCGAAATTTTATTTATATATTTTTGTTTTGTTTTGTTTTTCAAGACAGGGCTTCTCTCTGTAGTCCTGGAACTCCTCTGTAGACCAGGCTGACCTCAAATTCACAGAGATCTGCCTGCCTCTG